CGACTTCACGACGACCTCAACCCACGCCAGAAGTGGACCGTGGCCTCCCTGACTTAGGCCAAAGTGACCCCAAGACTTGTACTCCCAGCGACGACAGCGACCATCGGGTTGCGACCAGGCGACGGCGACTTACTCCACACAGGAACAAGGCCCTGGAGCTGCAGCGTCAGTAGATAGCATCGACACGCAGGCCCAGGCCCAGCAGATGTTCAAAGGTTCTTCTAAGAAGTTCCGGCGCCGTAGACAGGGCAAACGCCGAGCAAACACTTGAAGCAATGCCCCAAGCCACAATCTCCGAAATGACAGTCGTTAGCAGGATGAAAATTGTCCAACAAAATGTCGTACACTGGTCCCTTAATAGACGTAACTCTAACTTATACTATCAACTAGACCCAGACACTGTATACCAGAGGAACATGACGGGTGAGCTGGACGATGGTGTCGCTGTGGCCATCAGGGCTCTTGTCTCTCACCAACCCTTTACACGCTCCACACGGCTGACCTGCCACCCCCAATCGTCGGCAGCGATTACGTCATGTATGCCGACGATGTGACACAGATCGTCACCTGCCCAGGAAGGTCCACGGCAAGGATGGCGCGACTCACTGCTCGGGCAATAGAGGAGATCTCGGAGTATGAAAATAAATGGAAGATAAAGACAAACAAAACAAAATTCGATGTCATACCTATAGCTAAATTCAAGATGGCGCCATTGATGATCGACGACGAAGAGATTGAGGACTCTAAACAAGGCAGGTTGCTCGGCCTCATCATCTCTCGGACGGGCATCACTTCCCACGTGAAGGACAGACTAAAGAAAGCCAAAGTCGCCGCCGCCGCCGCCAAATTAAAACGTTTTAAACTGATGCCTGAGAAGATTCAAGTCCACCTGTACAAGGTGCTGGTGAGGCCTGTGTTGGAGTACCCACACGTACCACTCGTCACACTCGGGAAGACCAGACTACAACAACTACAGAGCTTCCAAAACAAGTGTTTGAGGTCAGCCAGTGGCCAGGCCACCCTACTACCAGGAGACAGTGAAACCATCCACCTAAGAAATAAAACAGAAGCCCTCAACGTCAGGTTCCATCGCCTAGGAAGAAGGCTTGGGAGAAGCTCTGGACGACCCTCACAGCCCAGACCACCTACGCGGGAAGACATCAACGGAGGGCGACCCCAGATCTGGTGGAGGGTCTGCCCGCACTACAACAACCAACCTGCGACCCATCTATTGTCCCCGCAGTGATCATAGATTAAAACTTAGATGATATAAGATCACATTTAACAAGTCACAATCTTCCTTAACGTAATACAGTAATAATATTTTAATAAACATGTAATTGTAAAATCAATCTAGTCATTGTCTACTAAAATAACCATTGTGCAACCTCATTCTAAATCCTAGGTTAGCTTAGTTAGCCAACAAACTCTGTAATATGTAAAACAAGGGGTGTCGTCCCCCTCTGTTTAACTCATTAAACTTCTTTTCCAACCTCCCCCCCCCGTTAAAAAAGAAAAGAAAAAAAGAAAAGGAATAAAAAAATAATAATAATAATAAAACTATACAAAAAAATAGAAGAAGAAGAAGAAGAAGAAGAAGAAGAAGAAGAAGAAGAAGAAGAAGAAGAAGAAGAAGAAGAAGAATAAGAATAAGAATAAGAATAAGAATAAGAATAAGAATAAGAATAAGAAGGAAGAAGAGAAGAAGAAGAAGAAAGAAGAAGAAGAAGAAGAAGAAGAAAGAAGAAGAAAGAAGAAGAAGAAGAAGAAGAAGAGAAGAAGAAGAAGAAAGAAGAAGAAAGAAGAAAGAATAAGAACAAGAATAAGAATAAGAATAAGAATAAGAAGAGAATAAGAATAAGAATAAGAATAAGAATAAGGAAGAATAAGAATAAGAATAAGAATAAGAATAAGAATAAGAATAAGAAGAAGAAAGAAGAAGAAGAAGAAAGAAGAAGAAGAAGAAGAAAGAAGAAGAAGAAGAAGAAGAAGAAGAAGAAGAAGAAGAAGAAGAAGAAGAAGAAAGAAGAAGAAAGAAGAAGAAAGAAGAAGAAGAAAGAAAGAGAATAAGAAGAAGAAGAAGAAGAAGAAGAAAGAAAGAAGAAGAAGAAGAAGAAGAAGAAGAAGAAGAAGAAGAAGAAGAAGAAGAAGAAGAAGAAGTGGTAACGATGGTGGTGGTGAAAGTGATGGTAACGGTGGTGGTGGTGGTAACGGTGGCAGCAGCAGTAGTGCATGGTGGTAGGTGATGATGGTAGTTATTGGTGGTAGGTGAGTGACAAGGCTGGTAGGTGATGGTGGTAGTTAATGGTGGTAGGTAAGTGACAAGGCTGGTAGTGTAGAGTTACCTGGCAGTCAGGTCACCCACAGGTTAATTAGTGAGAGGCGTCAGGTGACACTGCTGAGGCCATCGACACGACCCGGTGCATTACCTGTCTGAGAGCTGTCTGACTCATTATGTACACAACTAAAAAAAAGAAGAAAAGAATATATCGATAAATAGACAGAAATGTAACAGATTTATTCTTTCTCTCTGATTCCCCTCCTCCTCCTCCCTCTCTCTATTCTTCCTCTGCTTCCTCTCCCTCTCCTCCTTTTATAACCCCTCCTCTACTGTGCCTCTTTCTCCCCCTCTCTCTTCCACCCACCCACTCCATCTCCATCCTTAGCTCCCTTCCACCGTTCCTTGCCTCCTTCCCCTCTCTCCTCCCTCCCCATTCTCTCCTTCCTCCCTTTCTCTCCCTCCCTCCCATTCTCTCCCTCCTCCCCATTCTCCCTCCCTCCCCCATTCTCTCCTCCCTCCCCATTCTCTCCCTTCCTCCCCCATTCTCCCCTCCCTCCCCCCCATTCTCTCCCTCCCTCCCATTCTTTCCCTCCCTCCATTCTCCTCCCTCCTCCATTCTCTCCCTCCCTCCTCCATTCTCTCCTTCCTCCCCCAATTCTCCTCCTCCCATTCTCTCCTCCCTCCCCCATTCTCTCCTTCCTCCCCATTCTCTCCTCCCCTCCCCATTCTCTCCCCTCCCTCCCCCATACTCTCCCTCCCTATGGCCAGGAGCTAACCTTCAGCCTCGGTCATAAAGATAAGGGCGTCAGTGTTCCCTTTCCCACATTTTTACTCTCTTCCTGGCCATGTGGGGCCATGTGGGGCCATGCTGGGGCTATGCTGGGGTCATAAGAGGCCATGAGAGACCAGGCAAGGGATTGACGTCCACCATACGGCAAGGATGACGTCAGAATCTTGCTTAGCCAATTAGGAGTGACGGTCAACTTCCACTATAAGAGGTTGTTTTTTTTTTTTTAGGTTATGGTGGGGAAAGGATGGAAGGCTCTTTGAGAATGGCTTTCAGCCAGGCATGAGGATGGAGAGATCACAGCATATAGTCAGTGCTGAAGGTTGAAAAAAGAGATTTAATGGAAGAGTTAAAATGGGGGACGACACTTACTGATTTTATGTGCAAGTTTTGTTGGCTAATAAACAGCAGCCAGTTTAGAATGAGGTTTAGCAGTTATTTAGTAGATAATGACTGGAATTGTTTACAAATTACAAGTTTATTAACATCACTAGCCGTACGTTATGGACTCACTTGATTGTGACTTGTTAAATGAATTTATATCATCTAAGTTTAATCAAGGTGGATCACTGCGACGGACATAGATGGGTCATGAATTTGGGTTGACCCAGATATGGCGGGCTCCAGAGGCCTCCAGGCGATGGAATGCGCCCTCCGTTATCTTCCCCGTAGGTGGTCCTGAATATGAGGTCGTCCAGAGCGTCCCAAACCTTCTTCCTAGGCGCTGGAACCTGAAGTTGAGAGCTTCTGTTTTATTTCTTAGGTGGATGGTTTCCACCTGTCTTTAGTAGAGGTGGCGCTTGGCTTTGGCGACCTCAAACACTGTTTGGAAAGCTCTGTGGTGTTAATGGGCCTGAGATATTTTCCCAGTGTGTGACAGTGGTACGATGATAAGGCCTTAACGACTCTAGCGCCTTGTACAAGGGCAGCATCTTCTTGAGCATCAGTTTAAAACGTTTTAATTTGGCACCGCGACACAGCTATTTAGTCTGTCCTTCGTCAGAATGACCGCCCGTCCGAGAGATATTGAGGCGAGCAACCTGCGCTTGTTTAAAATGCCACTCCAATCTCTTCAGTCGTCGATCATCAATGAGACCGCTTGAATTGGCTATGGTATGACCTCCAGAAATTTCGTTTTGATTTTGTTTTTATTTTCCATTTATTTTCGCTCTCCGAATCTCCTCTAACCTTGAGCAGTGAGTCGCGCCATCGCGTGGACCTTCTTGGGCAGGTGACGATCCTGTGTGTTACATCGTCGCGCCATGACGTACTTTCACTGCGGTGATTGGGGGTGTGATCCAGCCGTCTGTAGAGTGTGAAAGGGTGGGTGAAGACAAGAGCCTGAGGCACATATGATAGTGAGTATTCTCAAATGTTCTTGCATCTTGATTTTGAGCTCTGCGGTCCATAAGCAATGAAGTTACTGCTTGAAGCAGATCCGTTTTCAGATTGCTTCGGATTGGCATGATCTTACTGCAGCCCTGCGTGCTGAAACTTTGTCCAGCCTTACTGGCGGCGTCCCTCGTTACTATATTACGCAGGCGGCAGTCATGGCATTGGCGATCTATAAAAGAAAGCTGGAAGCCCTGAAACAACTGGCATTGAATTATTACTCGGCGGCGCTGTCGGAAGCCAGCAGCGCGGGGACTATACGTCTTCGTCCTCCAGAGCCATCCACAATCGCTTGACTATTTTTCAGAAAGACAGCAGTACCCTCTAACGATATTGATTCGAAAGTTTTCGACTTTGTTTGGAAACCCTGCTTTGGTATGGGAGCGACTAGCGGCGATTTTTTAACATCTTGGAGAATAATCAGAGAGCAGGCTGAGCGTTGCATATTTCAGCAACTTCCTCTATCATGTCGAGGAGTTGAGCCAGGATCTTCTTGTTAATGTGACTTTGACCCAGGTGATTTGTTTTAAAACCCGCACCATGACGGCTTCCAACATCTGCAGGAACTTACACTCCGTCCAGGTGCTTTCGATCCGCCAATCCTGAGATGAAGTCAGTCCGTGGGCAGCTGGAAGCAGATGCTGATGGTTCTGCTGAGCCTAAAATGTCTCCTCAACTCCCCTGTCAGCCCTCGTTCTCCTGTTCACTAATGGTAAAGATCTTTCGTAAATATCGCCACGTGTAGTTGTTAACTGGTTTCTTCTCGAATATTTTTACGTTGTTTTGGTCGAGCAGGTGGGGACCGTGCTAGAAGTGGGAACATCGTCGCTGATCACACCAGATACGCTTAGAATCCTTGTGTTGGCTGCACTCCACACCAGGCGTACTTTTGTTCATGTGAGCCCGTTTGCTCTCGTGCTGGATGTCCGTCTGTCTGCCGGTCTCTCAGCTCTAGCATCCACCCGCGGATACCTGGCCTTTGTCTCCACGTGGAAGCGTACCTGGACACTGAACTACTGGTGACCAGATGAGGATGGGGGAATGGTCCCCACCCACGCTGGGCTGGTCCGGATGTTGTTTGTCCATCTCGTCTTCATCTGCCTGTTCCGGTACGTCGGGCGTCTGTCATTGAACAGCTTCTTGGGTTTCTCCCCCTGCTTGAAGGCCTGAGCTCTCGAGAGGTCCCCGACCTGCCCGTTTGAGGTTTGACCTGATGTTGGCGGGGATCATAATGGGATTGGATGAGAGCGTCACGACGACTGGCAGGTGATCGCTGGTACTGATGGGTCCGGCGGTAACGTGCCTGTTCAGGACGGCCTCGTTGTTAGAGAGGATTATGTCGGGTGTTGTGGCGCTGGCACGTCTGATCAATGTCGGGAAATCTGGCCCGAGGTGTTGCAGTTTTCCCCTTCTGATGTTGTCATACAGCGCCACACCGACGTTGTTCTCATTACCGTGTCCGAGTATGGCGTGGCGCGCATTAAAGTCCCCTATGTTGGTTTTCTGTGGCGTAGCAACTGGTTTAGGTCTTGTTCGGGTAAGTAAGGACGTCTGGGAGGTAGGTACATTGTAATAATGATATCATGATCTCGCTTAGCCAATCACAAACGACGGTCGACCTCCACCCTCTCTTAGCCAATCGGAAGCGACGGTCGACTTCAATGACCAGAGGTAAAATTGACATCAGTGTATCCCTTGGCCAATCAGGAGTAACAGTTGATCCCCATAATAATGACGTCAAAATGTCGCTTGACCAATCATGATTGACGATCGACATGAACCCATCACCAGCGAATAACGTCACGAGCTCCCTAAAACCACATTGGATGACGTCACTTATAACAAAACAATAACACTGTACTATAATAAATCAAGTAACCTAACACTATATAATCATGATAGATTAATAACTAGGATAAAAACACTAACAATAACAATAATATCAATAACAGTAAATATAATCACAAAAATACTAACAATAATACTGTTATGACTTAAGGGTTCAGTCATAAAAGGTAATTAGTGTCATAATACTCCCATTAACCTTTCACAGCTCTCAAGGTCAACTTACTCTCCACTAATAGATTAAATTTAGTGCAATCAAGAGCGATAACAACCACCAGAAGATACAGTTCACCCTAAAAGAGAGAGAGGAGAGAGAGAGTGTGTGATGATGGATACCGTCACATCCGGCCAGTAATGACACACTCACACACATGGATCAGGTATAACGACCATTAAACTCACTACAACTGTAAACCCTTCATAGGCTGTCTCCTCTCTCTCTCCTCTCATCACTCCTGTATAACTTCTTATACACATCAAGCTCCCCCCACCCCCCTCCCCCCTCTCTCCCCCTTCCTCAGGCTCAGTGCTCCATAGCGCTGTGTAATGACCAGGGACATTTTCGATATCTCTAACGCCAGTGTCTCTCTCTGTTCTGATTCATAAACAGGTAAAAAAAAAAATGAAAGTAGAAGAAAAAAAATATGGAGTTGACTGTAATTGAGAGGAAGCTCCTCTACAATGTGTGTGTGTGTGTGTGTGTGTGTGTGTGTGTGTGTGTGTGTGTGTGTGTGTGTGTGTGTGTGGGTGTGTAGAGTGTGTGTGTGTGTGTGTGTGTGTGTGTGTGTGTGTGTGTGTGTGTGTGTGTGTGTGTGTGTGGGGGGGGGGGGTGTGGAGTGAACGGTGATGTCTATTTGTCTGTCTGTCGTAAGGTAATGCCGTAGATAAGAAAGACAGGGGGGGAGGAAAGACAGTCAAACACACAGACAGGTATATAGAGACAGGCATCAAACAGAGACTAGTGTAAAGACTGACAGAGAAGCACATAGACAGTGAAACATATCTACAGAGAAGAGACAGAGAGATAAGAGAACGACGGAAAGGCAGATGATGCGAAAGTTACTGACAGACAAACATTCGTACAAACAGGAAGAGACAGAGACAGAGAGAGACAGACAGACATAAGAACATAAGAACATAAGAATGGAGGAAACTGCAGCGGGCCTATTGGCCCATACTGGGCAGTCCCGTTTACACCCAACCCCTATTGCTCATATATCCATCCAACCTATGTTTGAAGCTGTCAGCGTATTCGAGTTAATGATGATATTTGGTAACTTGTTTCCATTCATCCTACTCTGTTTCCAAACCAGTGTTTACCTATTTCACGCCAAAATCTAAATTTATCTAATTTAAAACCATTGTTACGAGTTCGCTCTGGTTGGATGGTTTGAGTACCTTTAGCCAATGTCCTTTGTTTAGCCCTGCCTTCACTTATACACACCTCCTATCCAGGTCGCCCCTCCTCTACGTCTCTCGAGGAGTGCAGAATTAGATGCTTTAACCTGTCTCAATACTCAAGGTTCCTAATGCCCAGGATTAGTCTTGTCATTCCTCCTCTGAATTCTTTCCAAGGATTCCTCTATCCATTCTGTAATACGGTGACAAGGAACTGAACTGCGTAATCCAGGTGTGGTCTCTAAGAGCAAGATACAGTTTTAGGATGACCTCGCTAGTCTTGTAACTAACACTCCTTTGTATGAACCCAAGTACTTTATTAGCCTTGTTACGAGCAAAAACACATTGTTTACTTGGCTTAAGATTCCTACTTATCGTACAAACAGGAAGACACAAACAGACAGACAGACAGACAGACAGAAGGACAAACATTCGTACAAACAGGAAGAGACACAAATAGACAGACAGATATTCGTGCAAACAGGGAGAGAAAGAGAGAGACATAAAGACAGAGACAATACGGGCAGACAGAAAGACATAGACAGACAGGGAGAAAACAGAGAAAAAAACAGACAGAGAGAGAGAGAAAGAGAGAAAGACAGAGAGAAAGACGGGGAGAAAAACAAGACAGACAGACAGACACCCAAAATAGACCATGATAAAACCTCAACAAGGCCACTCACTCGACTTCCAGTTTTATGATATCAAAGGTAATTTTCCCCTCTCCCCCCCCCAAAAAAACGAATAATATCAGAGACAAAAAATGTATATCCTTCCTCACTCTCAAGCCCATTTTAATTACACTCCACACTCAGGATCGTCCCAGCAAGTTCAATTTATGGCTGATTTATATTGCGTCTCTGTCTCTCTGTCTCTCTGTCTCTCTGTCTCTCTGTCTGTCTATCCCCGAAGCTGTCAAAGGGAAAATAGTAATTTCTCACTTTAAAATATAACATACACGAATATACAGCAGGTGCCGCGGACAAGGTATTTCAGTCAGGATCAAATAGTTTCTTAGCTGGAAAACTTTATGGTATTTGTTTCAATATTTTTTCTTTGTGAGTCTTGAATAGAAATGTTACACGGTGTAGGATTTTGGCCGAGATATTCAAGATGTTTGTAAATAAGTTCCTTGGTTAAAAATATTGGAAGGGCGGATTATTTCACCGGTTGATTTAACACCCTAATGTTCGCATAACTTAGTTTAGCCTAACCTAACCTAACCTAACCTAACCAAACCTAACGTAACCTAACCTAACCTAACGTAACCTAATCTAACCTAACCATAACCGAACCGTCAGGTGAAATAAGTTAGGATGCCTAAGAAATGTGTATGTATCTTAAACGAAATATTAAATCATTAAAGATTTCTGAGTGTCTAGAATTGAAATACAGAAACTCCAATATAGCGAAATAACCAAAATAACACAATACCGACATATCGAATATCCGAAATCACGAAAATCCGAAATAACGAAAATCCGAAATAAAAAAAATCCGAAATAACGAAATTCCGAAATAATGAAAATCCGAAATAACGAAAATCCGAAATAATAAAAATCCGAAATAACGAAAATCCGAAATAACGAAAATCCGAAATAACGAAAATCCGAAATAACGAAAATCCGAAATAACAAAATACCGAGACTAGCCAAATAAATTTTTACAGTGAAACGAAATACCATACATTACGTAATTATACTGTATAGGAAATGAAGTGTTGAACAGACGATGGTTACTGAGGACAGAAGCAGGTAGTGAACATTAAGGGAAACAGACTGTGAGTAAGGGAAGGAGTCGACTACTGCTGTGTTCTGTGAGGGAGGGAGGAGAAAGAGGGAGAGAAAGAAGGGAGGGAGAAAGGGGAGGGGGAAGGAGGGAGAAGGGAGAGAAAGAGAGGAGGGAGGGAGGAAGTACTGGTGGTGTTACTCAGCTAACACAGCACCGAATCATAGGGGTATAATATATTTTTGAGTGAGAAGGATATTAGGATCTCTCTCTCTCTTCTTTATATGTGCCCGTCTGTTTTTCATTCTCTTTCTCTGTGTCTGTCTGTCTGTCTCTCTCTTTTTCTATGCCTTTCTTTCTCTGTGTGTGTCTCTCTGTCTTTCTTTTTCTTTCTCTTTTTCTGTCCTTTATGGTTTCTCATTATCTCTGTCTCTCTTACTCATATTTTCCTCCCTTTTCTTTTTTTACCCTTTACCCTCTAATTCTTGCTTTCTCTCCACTTTCAATTCCTCTTTCTTTCTTTCTTTCTTTCTTTCTTTCTTTCTTTCTTTCTTTCTTTCCTTGTTTCTTTCTTTCCTTGTTTCTTTCCTTTCTTTCTTTGCTTCTTTCTTTTCTTTCTTTCTTTCTTTCTTTCTTTCTTCTTGTTTCTTTCTTTCTTTCTTTCTTTGCTGCTTTCTTTCTTTCTTTCTTTTTCTTTGCTTCTTTCTTTCTTTCTTTCTTTTTCTTCTTTCTTTCTTTCTTTCTTTCTTTCTTTCTTTGCTTCTTTCTTTCTTTCTTTCTTTCTTTTCTTTCTTTCCTTGTTTCTTTCTTTCTTTCTTCTTTCTTTCTTTCTCTTTTCTTTCTTTGCTTCTTTCTTTCTTTCTTTCCTTTCTTTCTTTCTTTCCTTGTTTCTTTCTTTTTTCTTTCTTCTTTCTTTCTTTCTTTTTCTTTCTTCTTTCTTTCTTTTCTTTCTTTTCTTTCTTTCTTTTCTTTCTCTCTTGTTTCTTTCTTGTTCTTTCTTTCTTTTCTTTCTTCTTTCTTTTCTTTTCTTTTCTTTCTTTCTTTCTTT